TATCATCACTCGGGACTTCCCACAGTACTTTGCAGTGGTGTCCCGAGTCAAACAAGACAGTAACCTCATTGGACCCGAGGGTGGTGTGCTAAGCAGTACAGTAGTACCTCAAGTGCAGGCTGTCTTTCCAGAGGGAGCACTAACCAAGCGAATTCGTGTTGGTCTGCAGGTAAGAGAAATGAGGACAAGGCTTTACATTATCTAACTGGCAGCATTTCTGTTGATGAAAGGAGTTTCTTCATTCCATTTTTAATTATTTCTTTGGGTTCTCTTTCCTGTATGTCACTCCCCCTGAATTCCAGTAGCTAGAAGAATTAATAAAACTATTTCTGAACCTCTGGTTCCTTCCTACAGTTAATCAGAACAGACATTCACATTGGTAAAACTTTACAAAACAAACAAACAAAAAACCACATTGATGCAATCACACATATGATTGCGTTTAGATTCTTTTTGCAGATGTGCACACTGACTGGTATCCATTTGGCAGTGTTTTACTATCTTGCACACTATTCTGTACAAAATTTGGAAATAAAAAAGCAACATCAATGGAGAATTACTAAAGCATTGGCTCCCATTTGAGAAGTCACAGTAGGTAATTCAGAATTTCAGAAACAACCCTCATTTCTCTGGAGGCCGCTGGTTATCTTTGCACAAACGATTCCTGCCTTTATAAACCACGATATGCATGTACTCAATGAATCTGCAACAGTTCCTTTGCACCTACCTTCACTTGAGCAGGGAAACCAGCCCAGAAGCCACTGTTAACAATTGCTTCTTGTTATGACATAACTGAGGTACTGCTTAATGGCTTCCAAATAAACTAGGAAATGGAGCCATGTTTAAAGTTTTGAAAGCTGGTTTATTTGGAAGCTGCTAAGCATAGTTCTTGCTTTACACATAACAAGAAGCAATGGTTAACTGACATTTCCAGTTATGTATTCCCACTTAAGCTAAAGGAGAAGAGAAGTAGGAGTGAAGGAATGAGCTGGGTGCATGGAGCTGGCTGGAATGGTATCTATTTTATTCAGAGAAAATAATAACAGAAGCTACTGAACCAGTTTATTGCAAATATTGCTTTATCTAAAAGACTGCCACAGTAAATTAAAGATATTTTGAGTTTAAAGCAGATGAATAAAAGTTGTGAGTTCACTAACTATGACTCCGTCAGTCTACATTCAGCAAGTAATTTAACTTCCATTTCCTCCAATTAACCTCTTTTCACAACTGTGATTAGAGTTCCATATTTCTGGTCTAATTTACAAATAAATTGGAAGTGGTAGGCTTTGTGAACTTGCACTGAATGCTTTGAAGTTATGATGAAAGGACTGATTAGTTAAATGTTCATAAAGCACTTTATGATTCCCAGACGAATTATGTAAAAATATAAAGCTGTGTCCAATTTGTCACTCATCTGCTTGCTAGAGAATGGTGACCTCATCCCATCTCTGAATGGGCTTGAAGATTTTTCAGAGAATTCTCAGAAGGAGCTTGGGTTTCCCCAGGAGCTTTGTGGCAACTTTTCTAAGGACATAGAAGGCTTGGTAATCTATGATTCCCAGGGATATTTGCACTGGGAGCAGCCTGTTGCTAATTCTTTAACGCTAATAGCAATTGTCTGTTCTGGTTGGGGTTGAAGTACCTCTGAAGGAACATATGTGCAAGGTACATATTGAGCCATCTCTGTCACTGGAGGTCCAAAATCTCTTCAAAAAGTCTTCACTCAAATCCTTAGTTCCAACAGACAGCCTTCCACAATTCTTGCAGCCTCCTACCACAACCCACACAGCACGCTGTAGCCTTTTTATACACAAAGATACTTGTCAAATCTGTCCAGTAACACAGATAAGAGAATCTCAAGATGCCTGCAGGTGCACTGAGTCATCTCTGCTGGCTCATAGAGTATTAACCCATTAATTGCATTCCTTAACAAGGCCGTAATAGCCTTACCAAAGTGGTCCATGCATTGATAACCTCAAGACTTGATTACTGTAACATGCTCTATGTGGGGCTACCCCTGTATCTGGTCTGAAAACTGAAGCTAGTACAGAATGCAGGAGCAGGCTACTGGCAGCATGCTGACAGCACTTGCCAATTTGCCATCAGGTGAGGCTCAAGGTCCCTAGTGCTAATTCATAAAGCCTTAAGCAACTTGGATTGCAAGTACTTTAAGGAGCATAATGCTCCATGTCAATCACTGAAATCCTTTGATGCACTCATTGTGTTTCCCCATCCCCCTGAGGTTTGGTTGGCCTTTGGAGGGACTGAGCCTATAGTATGGCAGGCTGTGGAAATCCCTGCCAGTAGGGGGTCCCGTGGAGCTCCCAGCCTGAAGAATCATCCCTGTCTTTACTAAAAATTATGTTATTTAGATAGCCTTTTGAAATCACTGGCCAGTATTTATGGATGCTTTTATTAATCATTTCATTGTTGTAATTCTTGTATGATGTACACTGACATGTACTTTTATGAATGTGTGGTTTCAGCTGATTCCCTGGTGGCCCGCTGGAATGTGGAGTTAACCAGGGCTATTGACTGTTTGGCTCCGAAGCGCCCTCTCCGATTGCATGGAGCCCGGACAGCCCCGTGGTTTTCCACGGATCTGAGGGCAATGAAACAATCGTTGAGACGGCTAGAGCGCCGGTGGCAGATGACCCATTCTGAAGCTGACCGGACACAGGTTAGAGCTCAATGTCGAGCCTACCAAGTGGCGGTAGCAACGGCGAAGAAGACTTTCTTCACTGCCTCTATTGCATCTGCAGAAAACAGCAGCAGGAGACTTTTTCAGGTGGTCCGCAATTTAGTGGAACCACCTGCTACATCGGGGCCCAGTACGGGCCACATGATCTCCTGCAATGATTTTGCAAAGTTTTTTGCAGATAAAGTCGCTCAGATTCGGGAAGAGGTAGACGCCACCGTGGGAGCAGGGCCGGAGCGGGAGAGTGCTAGTCCTGTCTAGTCAAATTGCGTGGGATCAATTCCAATCTGTTACCTCCGAGGATGTGGACAGGCTGCTTGGACGAGTGAAACCAACCACCTGTCTCCTTGATCCTTGCCCATCCTGGCTTATAAAAGCTAGCCGGGAAGGGCTGGGCAATGGGCTTTGTGGGGTGGTGAATGCTTCCCTCTGTGAGGGAGCCTTCCCAGACCCGCTGAAAGAGGCGGTTATTAAACCGCTTCTTAAAAAACCATCTTTAGATGCAGCCATGATGGCCAACTATCGCCCAGTCTCAAATCTTCCATTCTTGGGCAAGGTGACTGAGCGAGTGGTTGCTGAACAACTCCAGGCACGCCTGGAAGAAGCGGACCATTTGGATCCCTTCCAGTCGGGATTCAGGCCTCAGCACGGGACTGAAACTGCCTTGGTCGCACTGGTTGATGATCTCCGGCGGGCTAGGGACAAAGGTGAGAGCTGTTTTCTAGTTCTGCTGGATCTCTCAGCAGCGTTTGATACCATCGACCATAACATCCTTCTGGACCGTCTTGAGGGGCTGGGAGCTGGGGGTACTGTCATACAGTGGTTCTGCTCCTTCCTCCTGGGCCGTGTTCAGAAAGTGGTGGGGGGGGTGAGTGTTCAGACCCCTGGGCTCTCACTTGTGGGGTGTCTCAGGGTTCTGTCCTCTCCCCCATGCTTTTCAACATCTACATGCAGCCGCTGGGAGAGATCATCAGGGGTTTGGGCTGGGTGTTCATCAGTATGCAGATGATACCCAGCTCTACCGGCGGTGACAGTCCTGTGTGAGTGTCTGGAGGTGGTTGGAGGATGGATGGCGGCAAACAGATTGAGATTGAATCCTGACAAGACAGAAGTACTGTTTCTGGGGGACAGGAGGCGGGCAGGTGTGGAGGATTCCCTGGTCCTGAATGGGGTAACTGTGCCCCTGAAGGACCAGGTGCACAGCCTGGGAGTCATTTTGGACTCACAGCTGTCCATGGAGGCACAGGTTAAATCCGTGTGCAGGGCAGCTGTGTACCAGCTTCATCTGGTACGTAGGCTGAGACCCTATCTGCCCGCGGGACTGCCTCGCCAGAGTGGTGCATGCTCTGGTTATCTCCCACTTGGACTACTGCAATGCGCTCTACGTGGGGCTACCTTTGAAGGTGACCCGGAAACTACAACTAATCCAGAATGCAGCAGCCAGACTGGTGACTGGGAGCGGCCGCCGAGACCATATAACACCGGTCTTGAAAGACCTACATTGGCTCCCCAGTACATTTCCGAGCAGAATTCAAAGTGTTGGTGCTGACCTTTAAAGCCCTAAACGGCCTCGGTCCAGTATACCTGAAGGAGCGTCTCCACCCCTTTTAATGTTTGATGTATCACAGTATTTTAATATTCTTTTGGAAGCCGCCCAGAGTGGCTGGGGAAACCCAGCCAGATGGGCGGGGTATAAATAATAAATTATTATTATTATTATTATAAATATTTAAATGAGTAAATAAATGAGGGGTAGAAGACAGGAGTAAGCAGAAAATGGAATTGTAATTAATTGAGGCACGTGGAATGTGCAATGGGTAATCAGATTTATATAGCTTTAAATATATAGTCAAATTCATAGAAGACATTGCCCAATGGCTACGAATGATGATGAATATATGCTATTGCCAGTAACAAAGACACCAGTCACTTGTGAACAAAAGTGAGAGAAGATTGTTGTGTTTACGTCCTGATTGTGGACCTGCCAAGGGCATCTGGTTGGCCACTGTGGAGAAGAAGAGGATGTTGTTATGATTTTCGGATGTTGTTAAGATTTTCGTTTTGTTCATGTCTTTGGTTAGGCTCAACCTATGCACAATGAGCTTGTAAAGAAGATTTTAGGCAACAAAGCCACATTCAGCCCTATTGTCACATTGGAACCCAGGAGAAGAAAATTCCATAAGCCAATAACAATGACTATTCCTGTTCCTAAAGCCTCTAGTGATCTGATGATTAATGGATATGGGGGTGATGCACCCACTCTAAGACTACTATGCAGCATAACAGGTAAGCTCATAAGAAGTACCTTGAATAGCTCGGTCGGTAGAGCATAATACTCTTAATCTCAAAGTTTTGGATTCAATCCCCATGTTGGGTAATAAATCCCTGTATTGCAGCGAGTTGGGCTAGATGACCCTCATGGTCCCTTCCAACACTACGGTTCTATGATTCTAAATGCACTGATGGGTCCATTGAGAAGGGTGGCATTGTATGTTGATGTTGTAGAGAACTCATTGAAAGCTCTTGCTTATCCCAGATTTGCAAAGTGGAAATAATGACCTCCATAGTTTGTTGTTGAAATAAGATTTTGCATCTTGGTACCAAAAAAATGTGGGTGTGTATTTATTTATTTATTTTAATATCAAGTTATTAACCCTGAGCAACACCCAAGAACAGATCTTGGCTACAGCTTGTAAAGTTAGAGCTTCACCACAAGCTCAGATTCAAGTGAAATGCTGCGCCAAATCTTGGAGTCACTCGGTTCAGGAGTAAGGGCGACTCTGGAGACGCAAATTGGCTGTCAGCTCCTCTCCTGTTCTTGTGGTCTTACTAAGCCAGGCATCCCCAAACTCGACCCTCCAGCTGTTTTGGGGCTACAACTCTCACCATCCCTAGCTAACAGGACCAGTGGTCAGGGATGGTGGGAAGTATAGTCCCCAAACAGCTGGAGGGCCGAGTTTGGGGATGACTGCACCAAGCCATACTTTGGCTTACTACGTCATGACAACCAGGCCATTGACTTCTTGTAGGATTGCTGAACATTTTTTCTCTTTGTCCTCAATTGTTTCAGGTGGAACAACACCTGCTCAGTGGGAAGACATCACAGGAACAACACCATTAACTTTTGTCAATGAATGTGTTTCCTTCACCACAAACGTATCTGCCAGGTACCACTGTCCAGAATAGTATATTTTCTTTAAACTGTATTTAAGTGTTTCGGCACTATATTTTCAGCTTGATTACTTATTAATTGGACACAAGTACCCCACTAAAGTTTTATTTATCATTATTTACTTATTTGATTATATACTTTATCAAAAGATCCCAGGGCGGTGTACAACATTAAGATCACATTTTATGGGGCATAATAGTAAAAACATAATGAAAAGCATAGTAATAGATAGCATAATAATAAAATAATCATAAGTCGTCGTCCCCCAGCTTTAACAGGCCATAGATTAATGGCCAAAGGCATGGGTAAAGAGGTATATTTTTGCCTGGTGCCTAAAGATACGTAATGATGGCACCAGACAAGCCTCTCTGAGGAGAGCCTTTCTCAGACAGGGAGCTACCACAGAAAAGGCCCGTTCTTGTGTTGCCACCCTCTAAACCTCTTGGGGAGGAGAGACATAGCAAAGAGCCTCAGATAACAAGTGCAGGGTCTAGGTAGGTTTGTATGGAGACAGGAAGTCCTTAAGGTATTGTGCTAATGTGCTAATTCTGGTATTGTAGTGTTTGCAAAGTAATCCATCCTCTGGCCTGACCCTAAAATAATGATTAATTCTGGAGTCTGAAGAGTCTAATGTTGTTTTAATATCTGTTCTGAAGCTGGCAGCCATGGTATCCTAATATGGACAAAAGGAGAAACTGTGGTTAATTAGAGATTTCCTGGTTTGATCACCTGTGCGCTGCAAAGGGGGTGAAGGGACTGTGTACATATCCCAGTTCATATCCCAGCTGAAAATGACTGTTCCAATGCATTTTGGTAATCTGGGAATCAGTAGAGATCCATTTCAAATTACACTCAGGCTTGGGCCACACCCAATGCAGAATCTAGATGATCCCCCCCCCCCATTAAGAATTTGTTTATTTCAAGCTAATGCACAAGTTATTTGAAATCAATACTAGTGTGATTCCTGGATGTATTTTCCAAATTCTGAACTTGTGTGTGTGTGTTATGTTAGACTTAACTATGTAACAGTTTTCCATGTTTGTTTATTTGCAGGTTTTGGTTGATAGACTGTCGACAGATACAGGAATCTGTTACGTTTGCTTCCCAAGTATACAGAGAGATTATCTGTGTGCCCTACATGGCCAAATTTGTAGTGTTTGCCAAATCACATGATCCTATAGAAGCCCGATTAAGATGTTTCTGCATGACGGATGATAAAGTGGATAAAACGCTAGAACAGCAAGAAAACTTTGCTGAAGTTGCCCGAAGCAGAGATGTAGAGGTATGGAATTAAACATGCAAAATGAATTCCTTCATTCACATTTTAGTACATGTATTTTTAAAACCATTGTCTTAATTTCCTTTTGTAGGTAGAAAGAAAATCTCTCATTTTAAATCTTAATGTGGGTAATATCCAGCTAAGTCACCCTCCAAGAATACCCACTGATTTCAATTGGTGTACTCTGTGTAGAATTAAAACTGGTCATTACTGTATATTCTTTATCTGCTTGTTTGTTTGTTTATTAGAAATATTTTATAGCCCACCCTTAATCTATACAGATACCGGAATGGGGTATGAAACATATACAAATATTAAAATACCTAACAAAAATATGTTAGAACACATGCAGATATTTCTTTTTATTGGGAAGAAAAGGAACTACAGTGGTACCTCAGTTTAAGAACAGTCCTGTTTAGGAATGATTTGGTTTACGAACTCCTCAAAACCGAAAATAGTGTCCCGGTTTGAGAATTTTACCTCGGTCTAAGAACAGAATCCGAACGGTGGAAGGGCACCAGCGGCGGGAGGCCTCATTAGGGAAAGCGCACCTCGGTTTAAGAACGGTTTCGGATTAAGAACGGACTTCTGGAACAGATTAAGTTCGTAACCTGAGGTACCAGTGTACAGGGACTCCCGGTCCAGATTAAAACATTTATATGGAGGGTGGAACTGAACCTTTCCTACTCTTGTTTCATTTTTCCTTGACATTCTTCCCACCCCTGCCATGGGTGGAAAGCTGCTTTTGCTATGGGAGGAAAAACTATTTGCCATAGGTGCAAATAGCAGCTTTCAAGAGGAAATGGTCGAAGGAAAAAGGGTTAATCCTTCTCTCTCCACCACCATTTCTATGCCATGTTCATGTTGCAGATCAAGTCCCCCTGCAATTTTGTTTAGTGGCAAATACAATCACATAGCACATTGTCCAGATTGGGATCTGAAACAATTTGTGGCACCTATCTCCACCCTCTAAGAGGAATTCTCCTGTTCAGTATTCTTCCCAACCTAGAACAGCCATAGTTCAGATCAGTTATGGATTTTAAGCAGGGGAAAATATATTTTATCTTCCTTGTTTGCGTACAAGACTTTCTGTTATATTATATAGTACTAGAGGGCCGGCTATCATCTCCCAAAATGTGTTATTGCTATTTAGCAAAGTGGTGGTTCTAGAGGGCTGTGGAATCTGTGGCCCCTCAGATGAACTTCCACTTCTGTCAATCCCAGCCAGTGGACCAGTGCATTCTAGGAATTGAATAAAGGTAATAATGAACTCTCTTCTACATTTCCATGATACTTACTGCTATTATATTTTGTTCCTTATCAACCATATGTAGGTATTAGAAGGAAAGCCCATCTATGTGGACTGCTTTGGGAATCTAGTACCACTAACAAAGAGTGGCCAACATCACATATTCAGTTTTTATGCCTTCAAAGAAAATAGACTTCCATTGTTTGTCAAGGTAATAGATACAAGTCCATACCTAAACTTTCATTTTATTTGGTGGTGACTATTCAGAATATTCAACAAACAGAAACAGCCCATCCATATACAGCCAGAAACCACCATTCTTTAACTATTTTAATAATAGCACCAAAGCTGATGAACTGCATTTCAAGGGCAGTGGTCTACTTTATCTCCTTTTGTGCACCTAGATGTGCAACAGTGCTTCCGCATTTTATGCAATGGAATGGAAAACGGCAAATCCGGGGGGGGGGGGGAGTAGTTGCCTGAACATTCACCATGTTTCAAATAAAAACCGAAGATCTATAAAAATGTTGATATCTGCCCTCTGGCTTTAGATCTCCCTTTGGAGATTCAACATTTTCACTTTAAGGCAAAAATATTAAAGTTTCTTTAAGCAGGGTTTAGTGGCAGTGGGTAAATAGAACTTTACTTAGGTACTGTCATACCTCTGGTTGCGAACGTGATCCATGCAGGAGGCACGTTCACAACTCGCAGCATTCGCAGCCTTAAGCGCTGCGTCTGCACACGCACATGATGCAATTCGGTGCTTCTGCGCATGGGCAAGCAGTCCACAACCCAAAAACACGCAACCCGCAGCGTTCATAACCCGAGGTATGACTGTGTGTCTTCATCCGTACATTTAATACATTTGCATCATAAATATTTTATAATTTTGTCTCTGTAGTATTTTATATCTCTTTAAGCTGTAGCATTGTGTGTGCTTTGCTTTTTGCACTAGGTCCGAGACACAACACAAGAACCTTGTGGGCGCTTGTCATTTATGAAGGAGCCTAAATCTTCTAGAGGCCTCGTACATCAAGCCATCTGCAATCTGAATATCACATTGCCAAATTACACAAAGGTACTGCATAATACAATGAAAAGATCTTTGCTCACATACTAGCCGGCACACTGAAATTTCAGAGCTCCTAATCCCTGGCTTTGTTTTGCACAAACTACAAGGAGTGGCTTATCCTTTGGGTTAAGTGGCTGTGAGTTTTTATTTTTAAGACTTTAATTAAACATTTTTTAATATTACATATAGAGTAGGATTGGGGAGCCCGTGGCCTTCCAGATGTTGCCAAATTACATCTCTCAACATCTCCTCCCATTGGCTGTGCTGGATGGAGTGGATGGCAGTTAGATCATCATCTGTAAGGTCATAGGTTCCTCACCCCTAACATAAAGGGTGCATTAATTATAGAGTATTCTCTAGGTGGGTGGCTCTCACACCATGGCCTTGAATTGGCTCAGCAGCATCGATTTTCTGAGTTAAAAGTGTAAATACTGGGGATTATATATATCCAAAGAGCCAATACCAAAAGAACCCATCATATGATACTTTGCAGATTTCTTGAGCATTAAGCCTAGTAGTTTGCTCAGACAGAAGTGTAGTGCTGGAGGAGAAAGACTGCAAAGGCACTTTAGAGTCTGGGTTCTCATATATATCACCTTCCTGCCC